AAGCAGTATCCTGGCATAAAGCCTTTTGATGTGTAGGACCAACCCTAGCTTCCCTCAATCCCATCATTTCCAGACACTAGAGAACTGAGAGTCAACCTAGGACCCCACCCGATCCCACCAAAATTCAGATATTCTCCAGATGTTTACCTCTAGCTCTTCTAAGTTTTGAGTAAGACCAGTCAAACACCATGCTGGCCAGATGAGCCATTTCCGTAAAGTTTAGTTCATGCACGAGTGTCCCATAATAATTACAAACGTCCATCTAAAGTCTATTCCTCATTCCAGCAGTCCTCTTCCTACCCCTGCTTGCCACTGCAGGTCAGGTGGTCCGTGCATCAGCACAGCACCCCTAGGCCGCTCCCACAGACGGACGTTATGATGGGAACTGAGGATCCCGCTATATACATACCAAGAGCCAAGACCAGCTCCCCCTCTACTCACTGCTACTCACATTCATTCAACAGATGTGGACAGAGTACCTAGTCAGGAGGCACAGAGCTGGGCACCAGGGGGAATGCAGACCACAGATGTCTGCCTTCAACAACCAAACAGCTATGACATGAGATAGAACGTCTGGTTGCAAGGGAGTACTACTGAGTGCTATTCCCCACTTTCCTGCTACAGAGAGTAAAACAAACCGCAGCTGGTCTCAGTAGAGAGTGTATCCCAGTAGAGGTTCTTGGTGGTCCTTCTATAGGCTGGAAGGTATTGCAAAAGATTTATGATATAGGTAGATGGTCAAGATAATCTCCTATCTGTTCCCTACATACTGAGGGTTTGATGGGAAAGCAGTGTTCATCTGTCTGATGTTTTAATACTGAAATCCTACAATATCATCATGTGCTTCCTTCTTGAGAGACTCATCTACATGCCAGAATTGTTGTCCTCATTGTTGAATACCAAATTCTACTTATTCTCAACATCCTAAAAATTTTCAGCAACTTTCTCATTTTATATACTGAAGTCTCATAATACTTAGAACTGCCACATCTTCATCTTGTTGAGGCCCCATTCTCCACCCCCAAAAAACTTTGTGTTGTATGATGTGCACCATTTCTGCCCACCCATGTACAACCAACATTCCAGAATGCCTTCCTCATTAAATTATGCCCCAAGGTTGCCTCCCCATGTACACCATCCCCTTCCCTAATTGTGTAGGCACCCTGGGGACTCAGCCCCAAAAAGTCAGAGAGCCCAAGCCTAAAACCCCCTAGCCTTCAGCAAACATGAGCCAATACACCTGTCACTTTTCCCTCTTCTTGACCCCAGGGAACCAGTACCTGAGTGAAAACCAGTGTCCCAGCACCAGTGCCTTGCTGTCCCCCAACCCCCAAGCTAGAGAGAATGTCTTGCTCTGCTCTCATGTGCCTTTTTCACATGATCCAAGACCTGTGGCTGTAGGACAGGTTGAAGAGAAACTGGAACTTCCTCCGAGGAGGGGCCCTTCCTGACCAGAAATGAGTGGGATGAACCTCACACCATCTTACTGCCCTTCTAGTCTCACTTCCCTAGAGAAAGGGCCTGGCCAGAGGACTCTTCCTGACTCTGGGAGCTCAGGACTATAGAACGGGCAAGGACAAGTTCAGGAGAGGCAAGTGCTGGCCTTGGGAAATCACCATCCCTTTGCTTCCAAGCAGAGCACCACTGCCTCTGAGAAGTCTTACCACCAGCTCCTGCCTAACTTAACTCCTGGGACCACGCTTTTGCCACATCCATTGTGACGTGCAGGCCATTCCCCTCATCCTACAAGGCTGCTGTAGTCTTCCTCACAGAATTCTCTGGAAATGGAGCTTGGGCCCCCTTCCTTTGCGCAAATCCTTCTCGTGCTTCTTCTGAGGACTAAGAATGCATCCTGTGCCCATCACTTGGGGGAGAGAAGACAACTCGTTTAAGATACCTCCTTTCAAGAGTCTTTCCTTCACAAACAGAGCTGCCAGATACCTCTCTCCCTATTTCTCTAGGGAATCCAGCCTGCCTCTGGGCCTCAAATTCCCTTCCGTAGTATCTCCATCTGCCCCTTTTCTTCTTACATATATACCACATTACCAGTGAATCATGATATAAGCCAAGAAGAGAGTTTTATAACAGGGTAGCCACAGCCTCTGGGCCTGTGATTACAAACAGTGGTACCTTTTGTCCACTACTCCCCTCTGCCTCCCCCTGGATGGTTCTACCCACAATGCACTCGCTCCTCTTACTCCCCACCTCTCCTGATACCACTTCAGGGAGAAGGTTTACAAGTCCCTTCCTCTCTTCTTGAGACCCCGGAAGGACTATGTTGTGTGTGCTTGCATGTTTCTTTTGTGGTCTTTCTCTGCTCCCCTCCTGGCCGTGGCCCCATGCTACCCTTCCAGATAAACTATAAATAAGCTACTAGCATGATTGGCCCACAGAGACTATGGGTGGGATAATCTCCTGATTAATGCACCCAGGGGGACAGTCTCTCTCGCCTGTTACCTTAGAGTTCTGTTTCCATCCCATGGTACAGAAGAACCTAGAATAACACTTGGAGTGGATTGTCCACCGGGTTTTCAGCACATGCTCTATATAGTTCCTCTCTCTACATTGCTGTTCTGTGTGCACCCCAGAAAATCTGCTCAGAAGCCCCAGAAACCAGTGTTCTCCTGCTCTGTCCAAAAGGGGGCTTTGGCAAGACAACATAAGGAAGAAAAGCCACTGTGAAAGGTGCAGTCTGATGGCTAGACAGGATGCAGTTCATGTAGGGCTTCTGGCGTGAGCTGCCAGACATTGCCCTTCAAGAGCTACCCAGCCTCTCTTCCTGGGGTGTGACTGCAAGGTGGCAAAGTGGCCCTGGCCTACTTGCCTGATGTGAGCTATGGGCCCAAGGCTCAATCAAATCCAGGATGGCAAAGAGGGAGGGGAGTAGCTGGGTACTGTGGTCACCCAAGAGCACTGCTCCTGTTGGTGGGCTGCCAGCCAGAACCCAGACATTCTCACTACCGCCAGGCACTGCAGGCCCTGCACCCAGCAACTCTGTAGCTCACCAGCTGTGAAAGGACCCAGGTGTCCAGGGTTCAAATTTGCCTGGCTCTAGCCTGCAGGGGCCCCTTCAAACAGCTGTCACTGAAGAACCTCTCCAGCCTGTTACTCTTGCCAGGCCTCAGGTCTGGCTCCAGGGCTCACCCCACCCTCCCCAGCTCCTTCCCTCCCTCTTCCTTCCTTTCCTTCCCCACCCCCACCTTCCCCAGAGCTTCACCTACCAGGACAGCCCCACCCAGCTGTGCAGGGCACATCCCATAATAATCCTTCTTCTTGCTAACCCCCCCCAAAAAAGAGAGGCGGCCATCCCATAATAGCCACCCACAGGAGACATTCCGCGGTGACCGCCCCCTCCCTGCAGAGCTGCCGGGAGCAGCCATCCCATAATAGCTGGCCGCCTGTTTTACTGGTTAAGGCTGTGGAGGGAGCTGGAGAGGAAATGGAGGGGAGGGAGGAGGGGAAGAGGATCAAGGGCCCCCACTTTGTGGAAGGGAGGGAGAAGGCTAAGAAGAGTGGCCCAAGGGGACAGGAGCCAAGAGGACGCCCTGCAGGGGGGAGGTGTGGTCCAATGGCCACCACAACCGTGCTTTAAGGCTTTCTCCCCATTCCCCTGGGGCTGCCTTTCCCTCTCAGCACCCCGGAGGTAGCTGTGAGTTAGAGGGGGATACCTAAGATGGGTTGAGGTGCCCAAAAGTAAGTGAGTGAGTGAGTGTGTGTGTGTGTGTGTGTGTGTGTGGTGTGTGTGTGTGTGTGTATCTCAGGTGTTTCCCTTGGGCCATTTGAGAAGACAGACCTTAGAGAGGATGGCTAAGTAGTAAGGGGGGAGTGAAGAGCTCAGGCCCTCCCCATTCTGCACCACCATCCCATAATAATCCCCCAGCCCCACTCCCCCTCCTACACACAACATCCCATAATATCTTCTGGAGAAGCAGTCCCCGCAGTAGGTACAAAGAGCTATCCCATAATATGCTCCCCCACCCCCACTCACCCCCCCAACTTGGCCCCCCCCTCAGTCACATGCAGCCGGTGCCATCCCCCGCTGCTCCCCCCGCTGGCCACCGAAGGCCTTGCCAGCCCATAATACTCTTGCCTCTGGTCGCAGGAGGCCTCCAGCCCATAATATTCCCTTCCACCACCACCCCCTCCTTCCCGCCCCGCACCCCTTCCTCCCGCCTCCAGTTGGAGCCTGGCCTCACCAGCCCATAATATTCCCCAGTCTCCTAAGGCTGTTCCAGCCCATAATACTCTCCTGTCTCCTAAGGCCTCTCCATCCCATAATAGTGCCAGACGCCTGACCTGTGGGCCAAACCCCAGCCCGTTCCACACATCGAGGCTGTGTCAGCGCCGCTGGTCTCCCTCCCTGTCCCTCCCCCCTCCCCCCTGCACGGTCCCTCCTGCCCTGGGCCCCTCTCCCAGCCCCACCCGGTGCCTGCCTGGGCCCTTACTTCCCCTCCAGCTAGGGCTCTTGCCCTTTCTCTTTGCTGGGTTCTTCATCCCATGTCCCCTCTCCTTTCTCTTTCTGCACTTTCCTGCCCACTCCTCTGTGTGTGGGATGGACATCGGGCCCAGAGGGGAGCGAGTGCCCCCACAGGGCAACCGGCCAGTCCCTGCCCTGACCCAGCACCATGGAAACCCGCCCAGCCTGACTCGCTCCCGCAGCCCCTGGCCTTAGTTCTGATGGCTGGTACAGCTCTGTCTGGGTGAGGATTCCCCTGGAGCCCTTGCTGTCTTTCAGAAGCACCACCCTTGGGCATCAAAGACTTTTACCAAGGGCATCTCCTCCCCGTACTCTCCTTGGAAAGAGAGCTCCCCCTTATAGGAGAACAGGTCCCTTCCAAAGGTGACTTCACTGACCCTCACACCCAGCAAGTAGATGCTATGATCCCCATTTCACAAAGGAGAAAACAGTTTCAGAGAGGTTAAGTAACTTGCTGAAGTCACTTTGCCAAGAAATGATAGAGCTGGAATTAATACCCAGGTTTGTTTGATTCCAAAATTCTGAGGGCCTTTAGAATTCCTCAAGCCTCTTGTGAGAAACCACTTTTCATTGCCTTCAGTGCTCCTCTGGAAACCATGGCATGGTAAGAGTTACCCAGCCTCCCTTTGTCTCCAGGGTCTCCTGAAGGAATGATAAAGAAGGCTCCCCCATTTCTTCCAGGGACCCCCGGTGGCATCCCCTGGGGGAGTCCCATCGAGTTGCTTCAGGGCTAAGAGAGAAGCATCTTTGCCCCTTGGGGTCCCTTACCTGTGCTCTGGTTCTGAATTTGTTTTATTTCAAGACCAATGATGGTTACTCTTCCCCCAGCTACCCTTACCATGTGGGGGAACATCCTACGGGAAAGACAGACTGTGGAGAGCCAAAACGAGGTCTCCTCTTCGATTTACTTGGGGGACAGTCTTGGAGATGTGCGTGTCCCAGATGGGGGAAAGGCGTCATGGCCAACTGCACAGGGCTGAGCCACCTGTCCACCTGTGTCACTGGCTAGTTACTCCCTTCTGAGCCCTCCATGGGGTGCATTTTGGAGCCAACACAACTGGAACCCTGAGTGATCCCAGTTTCCAGCACTCGCACAGCCACAAGGATCTTTGCACAGGGGCCTGAGGCAAGTGGAGAGGGAGGCAACAGGTGTGCTGCAGGTGAGTGGGTTAGAGATTCAAGGTGACAGACGTGGCCAGCTGGAGAAGGGAAAGAGAAGGAAACCAGGGAAGGGTGGGTGTTAAGGCCAGGGATAAGGAGGTGGGAAGAACCGGGAAGGGGAGATGCAGCAGGATGTACTGCAGAGAGTCAGAGTCTGGGAGCCAGATGGATACTCTGCCACTTCCCAGCTGTGTGACCTTGGGACCTCAACTTTGCCAGTGTGTTTCATCTGTAAAATGGGGATAATAATCATGCCTAACTCAGGGGGTTATTATAATGATTAAGTAAGAGAGCATTTTAAGCACTAAATTGAGATCCTGGCATACAGAGAATATTTTTAAAACTTGTTAATGCTCTTCTCTCTCCATCTAAGATTTTCTTCTTCCTCCTGGGATTTGCCTGAAACTCACAGGGGTGACCCCAGGGCCTGCGGTGAGGGCTCTGGATTGCCCGTATTTTACATCCATGTGCTGTCCATTCAGTCACTGGAGAATCCTGTGAAAATGGCAGTGGTTACAAGTTTTCTTAAACTTCCCCAGCCTCTTACTTGCCAGATTCTGTTCATTCCTGCCTGCCACATCTCCTTAATCTGGTCTTGTCTCTCCAGTTTCACGATAGAAACCCTTTGGATATACTGAATGTGGGGAAAGAGTCCCCGAGCTTACATACCAGAGATTTCACACTGGGGACAGCCCATTCCATCCACCAGTGCAGGCCACCATCACACTTCTGCTGGACTATTTACACAGGTCCCTCACCATCTTTCTTGCCCCTTAGACTCTCCCACCTCAGTTCTCTACAGTTTATTCCACACCGTATGTCAGGGTGAGCAAAACCTCACTCAAGAACCTTTAGGGACTTCCCATTACTCACTAAATTAACTTCCAGTTCCTTACCCTGCTTTCTTGCACCTTCCATCTTGAATGGTAATTCCTGTTAACTTGTTCTATGGTCCCCACTAGATGATAAACTGCTTTCCAGCAAGATTCAACTGTTTATAATTCAACAAGTATTTATTGAGTACTTCTTTTGTGCAAGGCACTGTTCTAGATGCTGGAGATACATCAGAGAACTAAGCCCTACCCCCTTCCATTCTATGGGTGGGGGGGGAGGCATACAATAAACTATAAAAATTATAATAAATAAGTACATTATATAGTATGTTAGAAGATACTTGCTATGTGAGTTTTACTTTAGAAATCATTCACCTATCAGCATATAAAAATACTCAAGTAATTTTTAAAAACTCAATTTAGTTCACTTTGAATAGGGAAAAACACTGAGGCTCTGGGGCTCTCAGAGCTGGGAGGGCACAGGTCCCGAATGTTAAGGATGAAGCAGGATGGAGCAGGTGCTAACCACCAGGACTCTTCTAGAGCAGCAGGCGGTAAGAGTCTGGCCCACAGCTCTAACCTCCCGCCAGATGGTGGAAGGCCCAGACTTCAAGACTATCACTGAGGAATCTGGGTCAGTTTTCTGGTTTGGCCACCAGAGGTCATTTTCCCCCTGTAAATCACATTCTGGAGCAATCACGTAAAGACACACAAAAGGCTTACTCCAAACTAAAACACACACACACACACACAGGAAAACCCTTACATTGACACACACAACAGCATTGAGAGACACAGGGACAGAAATACAGGACACACCCATGGCAATGACTTCTTCACTAATGTCAGGGTCTCAAGATGTCAAAGTGCCAATTCTGCAGCCCCTCCCAGCCACTGATTCCATCCAAGGAAAGGGAACTGTATTGGCCCTTAAAGCGTCTCCCATTTCCCTTGCCCCCAGCCTGCTAAGAACGGCCAGCCTAGTCCCGTCTGCTCTTTGCTCCCTGTAAATTCTTCATGCCCGGCTGTGGCATAGTGCCCTTTCCCTCCCCGGAGAAGCCCACCCCCTCCTCCTGAGTGTGTGTGACTAGTTCCACCTGCACCTCAGGCTGCAGCTCCAGGAAGCCCCAGGTAGTTCCATTTCATATGCAGCTGCTCCTGGTGCCCCCAGGAAACCCCAAGCCTGAATGACTACAACTAACAATTGAGTTGTGGAGTATTGCCCACTCCCCACAGTACCAAAATAAAAATGTAACGCCCTGGTAAAAAGTGACACACAAACTCTAATACTTTAGTACAAGCCTGGTCCTCGGAGTGTGATCTGGGGACAAACTCTTTTAGGAAGTTCATGAGATCAAAGGTATTTTCCTAATACTACTAGGATGTCATTTGTCCTTATCACTCTCATTCTCTCACACGTATACAGTGGAGTTTTCCAGAGGTTTCATGAAACGGGAGGACATTACTGCTCTCACAGCTAAGGGAGTGTGGCATGTGTATTGGTGAAAAACATTTTAGTTTAACTAATAAGTATTGGAAGGACAAAGCATAAGCAAAAGCTCTTTGGAATCCTCAGTTTTTAAGAGTGTAAAAGGATTGGAGACCATACGTTTGAGAATTGCTACTTCAGTATAAAGAATTTTCTCCTTAATCTAAATGAAGCAGCAGGGGCAGAGTGAGTGAGTTTAGGACCTAGAATGGAGGAGGCCTGGAAAGCAGGGTGAGGTGGGCTGACAAGGAATGTCCTATAGCAATGGGAACAGGGGACAAATCTTTGAGGGAAAAAAACCCTCTAACTCACAGTTTGCTCTGCCCACAACCATCCTGTGCTGGGTGTCAGATCTAAGTTGTTACAAGTCACTAAAAGAGAAGGAAACCAGTTCTGTCCCTATTCAATAACCTCTTGCGTTATGCCTCAGGGCTGGGCAGGGGAAGCCTAGGTGGCAGTGAGAGTGGGTGGCATCCATCCTAGCACAGTTGTGGTCTATATCCAGGACACCCACTGTCTGCTCCATCTACCAGTTCTTGGCAGTGTTTCATGCCCCCGCCGAGGGCGTTTCACCCAGTCGCCTGCCTCTGCGTTGGCAGGCTCACAGCATCACTTCCTGCGTACTGGAAGGGGTCCTCCCCGTGCTCACCATTGCCACTAGTTTAAATAAAGGTTATGTCCGCCAGCACGCTTTCTTCCCTGTGCCCCTCGCTCCCACGCTTCGTTTTCTTCTGCATTACGGGCTGGAGTGCCACCCAGAAGTCCAAGTGCCCAATTCCCCGCCCTCGTGTGCCCACTCTGCAGGTCTATGAGCGTGAGAGGCGGAGGGGTGCGTGTGGGCGTGAGCGCCCCAGCGCGAGCTGCGCTTTCAGAGAGCCGAATCCTCCGGGCACTGGGCGAAGAGCCTCCCAGGGCTGGAGAGCCCGAGCAGCCCCTGACTGGCGGGAGCCGGCCTGGTGTTGTGGGTGATCGCAGAGGGCCTGTCGGCCAGCGCGCTCCGAGCCCCGTTCGTGGCCAAGGTCCTGGCCCGGAGCGGGGTACCCAGGCCGCGCAGGGTGTTGCGGAAGCCCTCGGCGCTAAAGTAGTACACCAGCGGGTCCAGCACGCAGTTGGCGCCAGCCAAGAGGACCATCACCATCAGCACCCGGCGCACTTGGTCGCGGGCGGCGTTGCTGGCCACCACCAGGTTGCCCCGCAGCAGCCCGTAGACCGCCAGCGTGGAGTTGTAGGGCACGAAGCACAGCAGGAAGATGACGAGGTTGGCCAGCAGGAGGCGCACTGTCTTCCGTCGCCGCTGGCTTCGCGTGGCGTCGGGCCGCGCCAGCGTCCAGAAGACGCGACCCGACGAGTAGAGCACGGCCGCCAGAGGCATCAGGAAGCCCAGCGCCTCCGCCAGCAGCACGAGCGGCAGTAGCCTGCCCTTCCACAGCTCGTCGCTGAAGCTCTCGAAGCACAGACGCACCCGGAGGCCACGGTAGCCGCAGGGCGAGGGCCGGTGCACCAGCACGGTGGGCACTGCGAACACCAGTATGAGCGCCCACACGCCCAGACAGAGCAGCCGCGCCACGCGGGGCCGCCGCAGGTGGCGCAGCCGCAGCGGGTGCACGATGGCGGCGTAGCGGTCCACGTTGATGAGGGCCAGGAAGATGCAGCTGCCGTACATGTTCATCTGGAAGATGGCACCTGCCGTCTGGCACAAAAAGTCAGAGAAGGGCCAGTGGTGCAGGGCGTAGTAGGAGAGGCGCACGGGCAGCGAGAGGGTGAAGAGCAGGTCGCTGGCCGCCAGATTGCTCATGTACACACTCACAACGGAGTGCACGCGCAGCGCGCGCAGGAAGACCCAGAGAGCCAGTGCGTTGAGGGGCAGCCCTGCGGCCAGCACCAGGCTGTAGACCACCATGTGCAGGCGGTGTGTGGGCCGGTAGTCAGGGCACGGGGGAACAGAGCTGTTGGTGGAACTGGTGGCCGAGGAGTTGGCCAACATGGTGCCGGAGGGAGGAGGAGCTAGGCTGGGGGCATCATGGGGCACAGGAAGGTCCTGGCATCGTGGCCCTCTCCAGGTTGGGGCATGGAGGCTGCCCAGAGACAGTCCCAAAGCCAGCAGAGGCAGGGCATGGGAGTGTGGGTTGTGACTGCCAGGTAGATGGCTGCCAGGACTTCGATGCCTTTGGACACTGCTTCATCAGCCGTGGAGACCTGGAATAGGAGAGCACGCCAGAATTCAAAATAATGCAGGGACAGGGCCAAAGACACAAATGTTCATCTAGCTAAACTGGCTGGCTTCTTGAGTCTTTTCTCAGCCTCACATCTCACTCCCAACCTTCCATCCGGCCAAAATAGCTTTCTGCAGTAGGGTTCTGGAACTCACTGTTAAATGCCCAGGCTCTAGAGTTATACTGCCTGGGCTTAAATCCTGGATATGCCAACTTGCCTAGTTTTGTCCACAGAAAAGTGCCTTACTCTTTCTGAACCTCATTTGCCTTACCTGGGGAGAAAAAAGGACAGAGGTCCTTGCTTCATGAGGTTGTTAGATTAAATGAGATGATATATGTAATGTGCTGAAGTTGTAGTTATTATCTAATCTCTCTGCCTTCCGTTCTTCTACAGATGCTTGCTGAATCTTCAGAAGGTGCCAGGCATGTTCACAGCAGGGAACAAAATGATGGCCTTGCCCCCACCTACTTCACATTCCATTGAAGGGAGACAGGTAATAAAGTGCAAGTAAACAGATGTTATGTCAGGTAGAAGTACTAGGGAGCGACTGCCCTGGAGCAGGTGCTCTGCTGGCTCCCCATTATCTAAAGAATAAAGTTCAAATTCCTGAGTTCAGTACAGTCCTGTCCACCATTGCTCCAGTAAGGGCTGGGTCTGTGGTCAGAGCGACGTGGGTTCAGCCTGATTGTTCACCTCTCCAACTCTGTTTCTTCATCTGTAAACTGGTTTAATAACATAGTGGGACTCTCCAAGGCAGACTGCACACCAGCACAGCCCTGCCAGGCAGGGGGCGGCCCTATGGGGTGCTTTCCAGGTGCCTTCCAGGAGGTTCTGACTCATGAGCTTCCCGGATGGGGTAAAGCAGACCACAGTCCTCAGGAGAAGCTGGCAGACAAAGGAGATGGCCAGGAAGGAGAGAAGCCAGAGGACAGGACATGGTCTCAAGATCCCACCTTCCTTAAAGCCTTAAGGCCACAGAAGCCACCCCTCTGTAGCTACCCCCAGTGCCTTCTCTTTGGTGTGTGTGATAAAACATACATAACTTAAAATTTACCATTTAGCCATCGTTAAGTGTACCATTCAGTGACATGAAGGACATTCACAATAGTAACCACTATTTCCAGAATTTGTAACATCTATTCTACTTTCTGTCTCTATGAATTTGCCTGTTTAGAAAATTCATATGAGTGGATTCATGTATCTGTCCTTTTGTGACACTTCAAGTTTTCAAGGTCAGTTCATGCTGTAGCATGTATCCAAGTTAGCATTCTTTTTATGGCTGAATAACACATTCCATTGTATATATGTATACACATTTTGTTTAGCCATTCATCTGTCTTTTGGCTATCGTGAATAATGCTGTGGATATGGCTATCCACATGCCATCTCAGGGAAATACCCTGAGCACTTATCCCAAAGCATTGGACTTCTTTCAAAAAGGAACTGCTGAAGTTCTTACATGGACCCAAACCTGAAATCTGCCTGTAACAAGTTTTCTTGTGGGTTTTTTGTTTGTTTCCTGTCCCTCCAACCACAACCACCAGCAGTCTAAGACTTGCAAGAGGTATTCTAGAGTAGTTAAAGGGAATAAAAAATTTCCTCTGCAAAATACCCATGTCAGCAATGAAAATACTACTAAAAAGGGGCTAAACCATACTGAAAAGCAAATAAAACCAGTTTCTTTTTCTGACACATGCCCCACCTCCCATGCTCCTTTGCTCCAGTCACATCATACTAATATGGTTCTCTCCTGCCGCCATCTTTAATCTCCCACTTTCTTATTCTTAACAATTATTTGGAGAATCAATAGCTCCTTGTAACTAGGAGGGACACAAATACTAGAAACAGAATGAGTGAATAAATTATTATTTCCCAAGTATCCCAGGTCTTTCACTGTAACAAAGTTACAAACCAAAATGCATTAGGTAAGCTGCTACTTAAAGGTAAAGTTAGGAATCCTCTAGTAGAGCTGATGGCGATGCACTCACGACTCAGTTCCAGAGGGAAGACGTCCCTGGAGTCTACTTGTCAAAAATTACCACTTTCTGACAGGCTCCCATGGAATGACCTGAGCTGAGTGCTGGGAGCTGCCAGGCCCTGCCCTGGTCCCCACTCCATCTGCCTGCTTCCTTGGGGCTTCTGTCGGTGGAGCTGAATGGGCACAGTGTCAGGCCAGATGGCAAAGATGGGAGAAACTGCCAAAAAGGAGGTGAATAGGAAACGGGAGGAGGGCTTTAGGTGTGGGGGAGGGTTGGCCTGGGCCCTCTCCACAGTCCTGCCTGGACGAAGAGGTCAAGTTATGGGAGAAATGTACAAAGCAGAGGAACAGCAGCTGCCCCAAAAAGAATGAACACTGGAGTTTCATTTCAGCAGGGAGAAGGAGGGACATGGAGGCCCACATAGGCTCAGTAACCTTGACTAACCTTGCCCCAAGGATGTGGTGACAAGCATACCACTACACATATGTGTACGTACATGCAAGATATAGGTGCGCTAAGAGATGTGCATGCATGGTTCCTAGTAACATAGAAGCCAAGGTATATATACCCCCAGTAACACACAAGAATGCGCACGCACTGCGGCACAGACAACTGGGCCAGAGGAGGAAGGGCAGACATAGCCCCTGGCCTAGGGATATCCATATTCTTATGCAGACAGACAGACAGAATCAGACAACTTCGGGAGCACAGACCCCTGCAGAGGTGTACTAACATATCCCAGCCCCCAGATACTGGAGGATGAAGAAAGCACTGCACACACAGAGGCCCCGGGGCTGCCCCGTGTCATCACTGCCCACCACACCACTCACGCACCAGAGTGCACGTGTCTGCTTGCCTCCTCCCTGGGCCTCTGTCCTTCAGCTTCCCAGGCACACATCTGGACCCAGGTTCCTTATGTCCTCAGGGCCTCTTGGACCTGTCCCATTGCCCTCTGAGCTGGGCTGGGCACCACTTTTTGCTGAGATAAGCCAGAGGGGCAGGGCTATTTTCTGCCATAGGCAGGAAGTGAGAATGAAAGTCAGACTAGGCAGGAGTCAAGATCATGACCATTCCCTCCCTCTCTTACACACAACCTGCCCGTGGCATCCACCCTTCTGGCTCTGATCAATGATGCAGAGGGAGCTGCAGAGAAAGGAACAGGCCATGTGGTGGGGGTTGAGGGGACAGTGATGGGGGCAGGGAGGGGAGAGAATCACCTCTGCTTTGTCCAGCTTCTTCCTGNACCCCCGGTGGCATCCCCTGGGGGAGTCCCATCGAGTTGCTTCAGGGCTAAGAGAGAAGCATCTTTGCCCCTTGGGGTCCCTTACCTGTGCTCTGGTTCTGAATTTGTTTTATTTCAAGACCAATGATGGTTACTCTTCCCCCAGCTACCCTTACCATGTGGGGGAACATCCTACGGGAAAGACAGACTGTGGAGAGCCAAAACGAGGTCTCCTCTTCGATTTACTTGGGGGACAGTCTTGGAGATGTGCGTGTCCCAGATGGGGGAAAGGCGTCATGGCCAACTGCACAGGGCTGAGCCACCTGTCCACCTGTGTCACTGGCTAGTTACTCCCTTCTGAGCCCTCCATGGGGTGCATTTTGGAGCCAACACAACTGGAACCCTGAGTGATCCCAGTTTCCAGCACTCGCACAGCCACAAGGATCTTTGCACAGGGGCCTGAGGCAAGTGGAGAGGGAGGCAACAGGTGTGCTGCAGGTGAGTGGGTTAGAGATTCAAGGTGACAGACGTGGCCAGCTGGAGAAGGGAAAGAGAAGGAAACCAGGGAAGGGTGGGTGTTAAGGCCAGGGATAAGGAGGTGGGAAGAACCGGGAAGGGGAGATGCAGCAGGATGTACTGCAGAGAGTCAGAGTCTGGGAGCCAGATGGATACTCTGCCACTTCCCAGCTGTGTGACCTTGGGACCTCAACTTTGCCAGTGTGTTTCATCTGTAAAATGGGGATAATAATCATGCCTAACTCAGGGGGTTATTATAATGATTAAGTAAGAGAGCATTTTAAGCACTAAATTGAGATCCTGGCATACAGAGAATATTTTTAAAACTTGTTAATGCTCTTCTCTCTCCATCTAAGATTTTCTTCTTCCTCCTGGGATTTGCCTGAAACTCACAGGGGTGACCCCAGGGCCTGCGGTGAGGGCTCTGGATTGCCCGTATTTTACATCCATGTGCTGTCCATTCAGTCACTGGAGAATCCTGTGAAAATGGCAGTGGTTACAAGTTTTCTTAAACTTCCCCAGCCTCTTACTTGCCAGATTCTGTTCATTCCTGCCTGCCACATCTCCTTAATCTGGTCTTGTCTCTCCAGTTTCACGATAGAAACCCTTTGGATATACTGAATGTGGGGAAAGAGTCCCCGAGCTTACATACCAGAGATTTCACACTGGGGACAGCCCATTCCATCCACCAGTGCAGGCCACCATCACACTTCTGCTGGACTATTTACACAGGTCCCTCACCATCTTTCTTGCCCCTTAGACTCTCCCACCTCAGTTCTCTACAGTTTATTCCACACCGTATGTCAGGGTGAGCAAAACCTCACTCAAGAACCTTTAGGGACTTCCCATTACTCACTAAATTAACTTCCAGTTCCTTACCCTGCTTTCTTGCACCTTCCATCTTGAATGGTAATTCCTGTTAACTTGTTCTATGGTCCCCACTAGATGATAAACTGCTTTCCAGCAAGATTCAACTGTTTATAATTCAACAAGTATTTATTGAGTACTTCTTTTGTGCAAGGCACTGTTCTAGATGCTGGAGATACATCAGAGAACTAAGCCCTACCCCCTTCCATTCTATGGGTGGGGGGGGAGGCATACAATAAACTATAAAAATTATAATAAATAAGTACATTATATAGTATGTTAGAAGATACTTGCTATGTGAGTTTTACTTTAGAAATCATTCACCTATCAGCATATAAAAATACTCAAGTAATTTTTAAAAACTCAATTTAGTTCACTTTGAATAGGGAAAAACACTGAGGCTCTGGGGCTCTCAGAGCTGGGAGGGCACAGGTCCCGAATGTTAAGGATGAAGCAGGATGGAGCAGGTGCTAACCACCAGGACTCTTCTAGAGCAGCAGGCGGTAAGAGTCTGGCCCACAGCTCTAACCTCCCGCCAGATGGTGGAAGGCCCAGACTTCAAGACTATCACTGAGGAATCTGGGTCAGTTTTCTGGTTTGGCCACCAGAGGTCATTTTCCCCCTGTAAATCACATTCTGGAGCAATCACGTAAAGACACACAAAAGGCTTACTCCAAACTAAAACACACACACACACACACAGGAAAACCCTTACATTGACACACACAACAGCATTGAGAGACACAGGGACAGAAATACAGGACACACCCATGGCAATGACTTCTTCACTAATGTCAGGGTCTCAAGATGTCAAAGTGCCAATTCTGCAGCCCCTCCCAGCCACTGATTCCATCCAAGGAAAGGGAACTGTATTGGCCCTTAAAGCGTCTCCCATTTCCCTTGCCCCCAGCCTGCTAAGAACGGCCAGCCTAGTCCCGTCTGCTCTTTGCTCCCTGTAAATTCTTCATGCCCGGCTGTGGCATAGTGCCCTTTCCCTCCCCGGAGAAGCCCACCCCCTCCTCCTGAGTGTGTGTGACTAGTTCCACCTGCACCTCAGGCTGCAGCTCCAGGAAGCCCCAGGTAGTTCCATTTCATATGCAGCTGCTCCTGGTGCCCCCAGGAAACCCCAAGCCTGAATGACTACAACTAACAATTGAGTTGTGGAGTATTGCCCACTCCCCACAGTACCAAAATAAAAATGTAACGCCCTGGTAAAAAGTGACACACAAACTCTAATACTTTAGTACAAGCCTGGTCCTCGGAGTGTGATCTGGGGACAAACTCTTTTAGGAAGTTCATGAGATCAAAGGTATTTTCCTAATACTACTAGGATGTCATTTGTCCTTATCACTCTCATTCTCTCACACGTATACAGTGGAGTTTTCCAGAGGTTTCATGAAACGGGAGGACATTACTGCTCTCACAGCTAAGGGAGTGTGGCATGTGTATTGGTGAAAAACATTTTAGTTTAACTAATAAGTATTGGAAGGACAAAGCATAAGCAAAAGCTCTTTGGAATCCTCAGTTTTTAAGAGTGTAAAAGGATTGGAGACCATACGTTTGAGAATTGCTACTTCAGTATAAAGAATTTTCTCCTTAATCTAAATGAAGCAGCAGGGGCAGAGTGAGTGAGTTTAGGACCTAGAATGGAGGAGGCCTGGAAAGCAGGGTGAGGTGGGCTGACAAGGAATGTCCTATAGCAATGGGAACAGGGGACAAATCTTTGAGGGAAAAAAACCCTCTAACTCACAGTTTGCTCTGCCCACAACCATCCTGTGCTGGGTGTCAGATCTAAGTTGTTACAAGTCACTAAAAGAGAAGGAAACCAGTTCTGTCCCTATTCAATAACCTCTTGCGTTATGCCTCAGGGCTGGGCAGGGGAAGCCTAGGTGGCAGTGAGAGTGGGTGGCATCCATCCTAGCACAGTTGTGGTCTATATCCAGGACACCCACTGTCTGCTCCATCTACCAGTTCTTGGCAGTGTTTCATGCCCCCGCCGAGGGCGTTTCACCCAGTCGCCTGCCTCTGCGTTGGCAGGCTCACAGCATCACTTCCTGCGTACTGGAAGGGGTCCTCCCCGTGCTCACCATTGCCACTAGTTTAAATAAAGGTTATGTCCGCCAGCACGCTTTCTTCCCTGTGCCCCTCGCTCCCACGCTTCGTTTTCTTCTGCATTACGGGCTGGAGTGCCACCCAGAAGTCCAAGTGCCCAATTCCCCGCCCTCGTGTGCCCACTCTGCAGGTCTATGAGCGTGAGAGGCGGAGGGGTGCGTGTGGGCGTGAGCGCCCCAGCGCGAGCTGCGCTTTCAGAGAGCCGAATCCTCCGGGCACTGGGCGAAGAGCCTCCCAGGGCTGGAGAGCCCGAGCAGCCCCTGACTGGCGGGAGCCGGCCTGGTGTTGTGGGTGATCGCAGAGGGCCTGTCGGCCAGCGCGCTCCGAGCCCCGTTCGTGGCCAAGGTCCTGGCCCGGAGCGGGGTACCCAGGCCGCGCAGGGTGTTGCGGAAGCCCTCGGCGCTAAAGTAGTACACCAGCGGGTCCAGCACGCAGTTGGCGCCAGCCAAGAGGACCATCACCATCAGCACCCGGCGCACTTGGTCGCGGGCGGCGTTGCTGGCCACCACCAGGTTGCCCCGCAGCAGCCCGTAGACCGCCAGCGTGGAGTTGTAGGGCACGAAGCACAGCAGGAAGATGACGAGGTTGGCCAGCAGGAGGCGCACTGTCTTCCGTCGCCGCTGGCTTCGCGTGGCGTCGGGCCGCGCCAGCGTCCAGAAGACGCGACCCGACGAGTAGAGCACGGCCGCCAGAGGCATCAGGAAGCCCAGCGCCTCCGCCAGCAGCACGAGCGGCAGTAGCCTGCCCTTCCACAGCTCGTCGCTGAAGCTCTCGAAGCACAGACGCACCCGGAGGCCACGGTAGCCGCAGGGCGAGGGCCGGTGCACCAGCACGGTGGGCACTGCGAACACCAGTATGAGCGCCCACACGCCCAGACAGAGCAGCCGCGCCACGCGGGGCCGCCGCAGGTGGCGCAGCCGCAGCGGGTGCACGATGGCGGCGTAGCGGTCCACGTTGATGAGGGCCAGGAAGATGCAGCTGCCGTACATGTTCATCTGGAAGATGGCACCTGCCGTCTGGCACAAAAAGTCAGAGAAGGGCCAGTGGTGCAGGGCGTAGTAGGAGAGGCGCACGGGCAGCGAGAGGGTGAA